ACCAGTAATCTCCATATTATTATCATTTTTTAAAACAAGAAGTTGAAACAAGATGCTTGACTTGAAAGGGAAAACCATCTAGGATTCTGTTTTTTAGAGTAATTTGTTCCTACTTACATGTCCTACATGTAACAGCTATGTACAAAAAAGTTATACAGTTGTCCTTGGTTTTGGAATGATAAGTGAAAAACATTTAAATTCTCCAACTGAACAAGGTATGTAAGGATTAACTTTTTGTTGTTATTAAAACAGTGAGACCAAAATAACTTGTAATATAAAAATAAGAGCTGAGTGAGCATGCCACTAACAAAGGGGGTATTTTCACAGAACCAGTATTTGTCCCCATTCCATCTCCACTTGATGTCCATCAAAACATACCATTGGCCATTTAGTAAAAAAAAAAAAAAAAAAAAAATGCAGTGTGCTTATGCACATACATGAGTTTCTTTATCTACAATAAAGGAATGGGGAAAAGGAAGATGAAAGAACAAAGAAAATTACTGTAGTAATCAGGATGTGTGGAACCAAACTGTTTTCTAATTGAGAATGCAATCTTCATCTATTAAAACAGAGTTCTGGAGTAAATAAGCAGGTTCCCTTTTTAGTAGACACCTCCTGTCTGCTGCTGGAACACATCAGTTGTATCTTTATGCTTTATTTCCATCTGTGCAGGTGTCTGTTTCATTGATTGGCTGCTGGTCAAATCAGAATCTGATCTGCCTCATTGGCAAACACGGCCATTCACAATAGGCTTTCAGTAGTTTACTGAGATACAACCTTATGCCATTGAAGCCATCAAATGTCCTAAGGATAACTGTAACTTCAAAACATGTTAAACTCTCTACTTTCTGGTTCTCAATTATTGCCCTTCTGGATTTGCTTTACTTTCTTTTAATCATGTCTATATCTTTTAAAGGGATATTTGTCATATTTTACCCAAGGTTTATTGCTATCCTTCAGGAAATCTGAAGCACTATTCACATATCAACTATATTTACCCACTATCACAGCAGAATGTACAACAGTTCTGTTAGCCACCCTCAAATTCCCTCATGCTTTCCTTTTATTATCAACCCCTTCCCCCCTTTCCAATCTGTGAAAACTACTCGCCTATATTTCATTCTTATAATTGTGCTTTTTCAAGAATGTCTTGTAAAAGGAATCAAAATATGTAGCCTTTGGGTGTCTGACCTTTTCCTTTTTTTTTTTTTTTTTTTGAGTTGGAGTCTCACTCTGTCGCCCAGACTAGAGTGCAGTGGCCGCTCCCGGCCACCGCAGCCTCAACCTGCTGGGCTCCGGCAATCCTTCCACCTCAGCCTTCCAAGTAGCTGGAACTACAGGCGTGTGCTACCACGCCTGGCTGATTTTTTGATTTATTGTAGAGATGAGGTCTCGCTGCCCAGGCGAGTCTCGACCCACAGCCTCAGGCAATTCACTCACCTCAGCCTCCCAAAGGCGCGGGATTACAGGCTGAGCCACCGAGCCCGGCTGACCTTTTTCACTTAGAAAAGTTTATTTAGGATGTATTCATATTGTTTCTTTAATCAGTAGTTTGTTTCCATTATTACTGAGTCGTGTTCCAGTGTCTTGAAGTACCTAAGTTCACTGATTCATTCACCTTTCGAGGGACATCCGATTGTTCCAGTTTGGTGCAATTATGAATAAAGCTGCTATAATTTTGGTGTACAGATGTTTGTGTAAATGTTAAGTGTAAATATCTACTACTATGACTTCTTGATCATATGCTAAATGCATATTTAGCTTTATAAGAAACCACCACACTTTTTTTTTTTTTACTGTGGTTGTACTATTTTGTATTCTTAGCAGTAGAGTTTGAGACTTTTGTGTTCTATTTATTGATCTGTATTTGCAACTAAAATATTGTTTATAGAATTCCTGAAGCTTTATCACTGTACACTCCTCTTCTATTAGATAATTGCTTTTTTCCCTCTCTGGTATTCCCAACATTCCTTACAATTATGGAAACCTTTTGTTATGTTTTAGACCTATGATAATGCCTGGGAAATGATAAAGATATTCTGTGTTGTACACATAGAGTTGGCTTTGAATTGAAGAGTAAGTAATAGAAGACATGAACTAAAGCATGAAGGAACAAAGGAAACTGTAAAGTAAGGATAAGTAAACAAAAGTAACTCAGTATCTTGTTTGAAAAGTGTAGGGAGAGCTAAAGGAAATAACCAAGTACCTAGGAAGCAGCATGCAAGGGGAGAGGCAACTGGAGAGATATATGAGTATATGATTATACACTTTGTATGAATGTGTATTTTTTTTCCACTATAAGGAAGGACTGATTCTCAGTCATCTATCCCTGGGGTAGTAGGAAGAGTTGATTAGGAATGGCAAAAGGGTATTTAGAAGTGTGCTGGTAGATACATGATTTTAGTCCTTATAGATGTGTTTCTTGGTCTTTTTTTTTTTTTTTTTGAGTTGTAGTCTCAGTCTGTTGCCCAGGCTGGAGTGCAGTGGCACACTCACAGCCACCCCAGCGCTGGCCTGCTGGGCTCGGGCAATCCTTCCATCTCAGCCTTTCAAGTAGCTGGAACTACAGGCACACACTACCACGCCCCAGCTAATTTTTTATTTTATTGTAGAGATGAGGTCTCACCAAGTTGCCCGGGTCAGCCTCAAACCCATGGGCTCAAGCAGCCCACTCACTTCAGCCTCCCAAAGTGCTGGGATTACAGGCTGAGCCACTGATCCTGGCCTCTTTTGTTTGTTTTTTTTTCCCTCTTGTTTTCCAGTTGGTTTTAGGCCTTCATTCATCTGTTTTTTATTGATTGCTAGATATTCCAAAGAAAAATTACAAACATAATTTGAGGCCTTGGGTGACATTTTATATCTTCAATAGATATTTAAATTTGCTATGGAAAACAGTTGTCAATCACCTTAAAGCAAAATTTTGGTCTTGAGGTGATTCAAAAATTATTCAGATATTTAATATTGAGAATGTAATATTGGTCTGTAACAACAGAGTTCTGGGGTAAAAAAGCAGGTTCCCTTTTTAGTGGACACCTTCTATCTGCTGCTAGAATACAGCAATTGTATCTTTCCCCTTTAATTCCAACTGTGCAGGTGTGTCTGTTTCATTAATTGACTGCCCATCAAATCAGAATCTGATCTGTCTCATTGACAAACACTGTCATTCACAATAGGCTTTTAATAGTTTACTGAGATACAACCTTATGCAACTGAAGCCAGCAAATGATGTCCCAAGGGTAACTAACTTCAAAGTGTGTTCACATCTTTACTTTCTGGTTCTCATTTCATTGTTTCATTTCATTGTTTCCCTTTAAAGATTTTCTTTTAATCACGTCTTTTATTTTATCTTTTATTTTTTGAGTTGGAGTCTAACTCCATTGCCCAGGCTGCAGTGCAGTGGCATGCTCACCGTCACCCCAGTGTTGACATGCTGGGCTCAGGTGACATCTTTACTTTCTTAAAAAGGCTTTGAGCTCCACCCAGACTGGCCTACTATTTCTCCCTTTTTCTCATTTGTAACCTTCAGGGTTCCCAAACCAAAGTATGGAGAATTTATGACAAGTACTATTCTCCAATTATTGTGTCCAACCCCACAAAACAGTTCAAAACACTGCTTGGTGTCTTTATCTATTACCTGTCTTTTCTATAATTGTAAGACTTCTTTAAGTGGAAAAGTGGACACAAATGTTAGGCACATTTCTTTGACTTTTTATATTTTTTAACTTTCAGTCAATCAACTCTGTATATTTGTATTAAATCTGTGATGCCTTCAGTCAGGTGCTTTTAATAATTTGTCCAATTTATATAATTGTGTTATCAGGAAGGTTGGTCTAGATGACCAAAAACAGATATTTTAGGAACTGATCATTGAGGAAAAGCCAGTTTGTATAGTCTCATACAGAGCAGTTCAAAGAGCTGGAACAGGCCCTATAAGGTGAAAAAGGCCTCATAACTTTTTCAGAGTTTAAAGAAAACTAATTTGATTAACAAATAGTGAGCAAAGCTAAGAAGGCCCATGGGGAAAATCAGATACATAAACAGGGACCAGACCATGGAGTCGGAGAAAACATAAAAGTCATTGAAGAGTTTGGATTTTATTCTAAGTTTAATTTGGAAGCTATTAAAAGTTTTTAAGCAGAGACAGCAAATCATGATCTGAATCTTAAGCTGGAATCACATGACAGAAAGTATTAAAAGTAGAGATCCCTATGCTCTTTTTCTGATTCACTAGCAATTAACCTGGTATCATATCTGAACATTTATAATTTTATCAAGCTCCCTAGGTGATTTTGATTCCCACCAAAACTTGAGAATCACTGACAGTAAAAGTTTTCTTATTTCTTATCTTCTCAGGTGAGTTTTTATTATTCTCTGCTCTGTCAGGTGTTCTTTTTAAGTGTTAATATATGAAATTATTCTAAACTAATATTGTTTTAAACTCTAGGCAAAAATCACTTTAGAAGGTTTTGGCTATGTGTGTATGTGAGAGAGAAAGAGAAAGAAAAGAGTAAAATATTTTAGAATAGGAAATGGTAGATATTGTTTTATGAAATTATATAGTAGATTGTGATATGAGTGTTACGTGTGAGTCATGGTAAGCAAACTTTAAACATACCAATAACTTATTTCTCGTTCTCATATTTCCTATTATTTACCTTTACTATGGAAGTTCTGTTTCTCCTCAATTTGTGATGTTCTTTAATCTTTCAGAGTTGCCTTCAGGGTGTTCAAGTAAGGACTTTTCTACAAAAAAGGACACTTATGAAACAGACTTATCCCAATGGGAAATAAATAAGAGGCTTGAAAACTGTGACCTTGAAGAGTCCAATTCCAGAGATTATTTGGACGTCCAAGGCCAGTTGGAGAAGCAAAAAGAAAATCAGAAGGAATATTTCAAGCAAGGGATGATCACATATTACAAAATGTCAATTTTCAACCAGCATCCTTACTTATCCCAACATCCAAGATACAATTCTACTGAAAAACCCTATAAATGTAAGGATTGTGGGAAAGCCTTTAGACGAGCTTCACACCTAACTGAACATCAAAGTATTCATACTGGTGAAAAACCCTATGCATGTAAGCATTGTGGGAAGGCCTTTAGTCGTGATTCACAACTCAGTCTTCATCAGAGACTTCATACTGGTGAGAAACCCTATGCATGCAAGGAATGTGGAAAGGCTTTTATTCAAAGCTCACAACTTATTTTACATCATAGAACTCATACTGGTGAAAAACCATATAAATGTGAGCAATGTGGGAAAGCCTTTATTCGTAGCTCACAACTTACCCGACATCAAAAAGTTCATACTGGTGAGAAACCTTATGACTGTAAAGAATGTGGAAAGGCCTTTACTCAGAATGCACAACTTACTTTGCACCAGAGACTTCATACTGGTGAGAAGCTCTATGAATGCAAAGAATGTACAAAGGTCTTTACTCAGCCCTCAAAACTTACTCTGCATAAGAGAATTCATACCGGTGAGAAACCCTATGAGTGTAAGGAATGTGGGAGAGCTTTTATTTGTGGCTCACACCTTTCTCAACATCAGAAAATTCATAATGGCGAAAAACCATATGAATGTAAGGAATGTGGAAAGGCCTTTTTCCGGGGCTCATTACTTACACAACATCAGAGGATTCATACAGGTGAAAAACCCTATCAATGTGAAGAATGTGGGGAAGCCTTTATCCGTGGCTCACAGCTTACTCAACACCAGAGAATTCATACCAATGAAAGGCCCTATGAATGTAAGGAATGCGGGAAGACCTTTGGTCATAGTTCACTCCTTAGTCAACATCAGAGAATACACACTGGTGAGAAACCCTATCAATGTAAGGAATGTGGAAAGGCATTTAATCGTGGCTCACTCCTTACTCGACATCAGAGGATTCACACTGGTGAGAAACCTTACGAATGTAAAGAATGTGGAAAAACCTTTAGTCGTGGTTCAGAACTTACTCAACATGAGAGAATTCACACTGGTGAGAAACCCTATGAATGTAAGGTATGTGGGAAATCTTTTGTCCGTAGCTCACAGCTTACTCAGCATCAGAGAATCCATACTGGTGAGAAACCTTATGAATGTAAAGAATGTAGAATGGCCTTTACTCAGAGTTCACATCTTTCTCAACATCAGAGACTTCATACTGGTGAGAGACCCTATGTATGTAATGAATGTGGGAAGGCCTTTACACGTGGCTTACTACTTATACTGCATCAGAGAATTCACACAGGTGAGAAACCATATCAGTGTAATGAATGTGGGAAAGCCTTTATTCGTGGTTCACAACTGACCCAACATCAGCGAATTCACACTGGAGAAAAACCCTATGAATGCAAGGAGTGTGGGAAGGCCTTTAGTCATGTCTCTCAACTTACTTTACATCACAGAATTCATACTGGTGAGAAGCCCTATGAATGCAAAGAATGTAGAAAGGCCTTTACTCAGAGCTCACATCTTTCTCGACACCAGAGAATTCATACTGGTTAGAAACCATATCAGTGTAAGGAATGTGGGAGGGCCTTAACTCATGGTTCACAACTAACTCAACATCAGAGAATTCATATCAGAAATCTTTTGAATATAAGGAATGTGGGATTGACTTTAGGCATGGCTCACAAGTTTATATGTGAATTACCTGATTTTCAAGGTTGCGCATCCATTTTCAGCAAGGAATTTTCTCAGATGTGATTATGGGACCCTCATAAAACACATCAGAGAATTTTTTTTCTTTTTTCTTTTTTTTTTTGAGTTGGAGTCTCACTCTGTCACCCAGACTGGAGTGCAGTGGCCACTCCTGGCCACTGCAGCCTCAACCTGCTGGGCTCCGGCGATCCTTCCGCCTCAGCCTTCCAAATAGCTGGAACTACAGGCGTGTACTACCATGCCTGGCTAATTTTTGATTTATTGTAGAGATGAGGTCTCGCCAAGTTGCCCAGGTGGGTCTCGAACCCACGGGCTCAGGCAGTCCACTCACCTCAGCCTCCCAAAGCGCGAGATTACAGGCTGAGCCACTGAGCCCGGCTAACATCAGAGAATTTATGTCGGGGAAGGAAAATGTTAATGTCATCCCTGTAGAAAACCCATTACTGGAAACATATTAAGCTTTAGCAAACTGGAGAGTAATTAATTCTGTTATTATAGGAAATGTAGGAAGATCTGTAGCCTTAGCAAATGTTTTTACAACATTATTTTGACTCTACTAGTTGATTTCCTTTATTATATATATGTATCATAGTAGTTAACTTCTGCTTTTGTTTAATCATTTGTAAAATAGACCTAAGAATAACACCTTTATTATAAGATTCTTGGCAATACTATATAAATTATTCCATGTAAAAACTCTTAGAACAATACCTTGAACATAGCATTTCACAACTATTAGCTACCATTTCCATTAGTATTATTTTAGAGAATTTGCATGAGAGAACAACACTTATGAGTGTAATGAGTATTGAGAAATCTTTCATCAGCACTTATCCCAGATAATTTGTGGGGGAGCACTGTATGCCATTTTACATGTGAGAAAGGCATCATTTAATTCTCATCCATTATGCTTAGAGGAAATTTATAGTGTAAAGAAACTGAATTTAATCAGTTAATTATTGAGCACAGCTGTTAGAGAATTTGGGCGAGGTGTGAACTGATATGTAACAAAGTCTAAGATCCAAAGTCTAATAAATTACTAGGAATTTTCTTAAAAACTTGAATCTACTGCTTTTCTTGTTTCTTTTTTAATACTTCATTAAAGATGTGGGGTAAAATTCTAATGTACTGTTTTTTCAAGTAAACTGAAAATAAAAACTGACTTTATAGACTGTTTTGTAATGAAAAAATTATGGGAGTGTGTGACTGCTTTTTTTTTTAACTTAATGTCTTTTTTTTCCTCTAAGTAACAAAATTCTGGGTGGAAAAACTTTGTCAGCCTTTCTTACAGGTCAACAAGATAGAAGAGGTATTTGTATAGCTAGAACATTTAAGAAATCCATTTTTCCTGTCTGTCTGTCTTTTTGCCCTTCCTATAATGTAGACATTGAAGCTGAAGCTCCGATTTTCTCACAGGGACTTTGAAAATAGCATCTGGGTGTTATGGATGGTAGAGCAGAAATGCAGGAGGAGTCTGCAACTCTGATGATTCTGTGAAACAGACATACTGGCTCTAGTCTGCCTCCCATATTTTTATATAAAATTAAATTAAACATTTGTTGATGTTATTGTAGTTTCATTATGACAATAAAAATTCTTAATGTAAAGTTTTGTACCTAGAAAGGGAGTGCTATGGGTAAAAGAAATCTCAATTGCAGCATTGATGTAGAGCCATTGAGAACGAGGATCTACCAAGTTCAGGCTAGAAAATGGAAGATTCTTGTTTTTATAGGTAGGATGTTGGGAGCCAACCACGGAGGCCCACTGAACATTAGGGATCAGAAAGGACCGTTGACCCCAAGACCACTAAGGATGTGTTCAGGAGCTGTTGACCCCATTTCCTCTCCCTTTTCTGCCTACCACTACAGCCAGAAAAAAACTCCTGCAAGCTCAAGCATATAACTCTGAGACCGGGACTAACACAAACTAACTTCAGAAGCTCATTGTTCCCATTTTTCCACACCTGGGGGAGTCCAGCTCCTGCAAAGTTCAGAGTTTCCTGGAGGTGAGACAGAGTAGGCGACTAGGGAGAAGAAAGGGACTGGGGAGAAATAAAGGGACTGGACTACTGTTCAGGATGAGCAGAAGCCATTTATTGAAAGTTTACAGTGGACTTTTATCCCCAAATTCTACAAAGTCATTCTCACATGTCTTTCACGTGAACACAATGCCAGGTGCATGAGGGGTGTCCCCCGCCCACCAGATGTTCCTTCAGGCATGAGGAAGAACAAACCCAAAATTGTCTTTCTGCTCCTCATGCTTGGTTAACGTTCCTCAAAGGCAATGAAATAATACCTTCCTAAAGCACAATGTTTCTATAATTGATAACCTAAAAAACCCATTACAAGCGCTAACCTTAATCTATGACTAACCTGTCCTATAAACCTTTTTAATTCTATGCTAATTTGTACTAATACCAAGCTAAACAATCCTATTGAAACTTAAATGATCACTTTTACAACCTAAGGCAGCCTAACCCAGAATGTGTGGAATGTGGCCCAGTCCAAAGTTTGGGGTGGGCCCAACCTAAAGTAGGCTGATCGCGTTCTTTTAACAAAATGGCTACCTAAAAACTTATCTCTATAACCTATTTTCCAAAACTTATATTGCTGTAATCTTGAGATTACATACAAAAAGCCTGTGGCAAACACTAAGGCTCCTCGATGTGACCCAAGTTTGAACTGTAAGTAGTATGAAAACCAAAACCCAAGTCTGTGGAAAAATGGGAACAATGAGCTTCTGAAGTTAGTTTGTGTTCGTCCCGGTCTCAGAGTTATATGCTTGAGCTTGCAGGAATATTTTCTGGCTGTAGTGCTAGGCAGAAAAGGGAGAGGAATGGGGTCAACAGCTCCCAAATGCATCCTAGTGGTCTCGGGGTCAATGGCTCTTCCTGATCCCTAACGCTCAGTGGGCCTCCGTGGTTGGCTCCCAACAATTGGACACTTAGTCATTGCCTCCCACTGTTACAAGGCATGCTTTATACCAACACAGATTATAATGCTAGTAGAAATGCTAGGAGTGATTCAGAATGCCTGTGTTTGGTATTTCTTACTGCTTTCAGTAATGTCCTGTGAAAGAGATTAACTCAGAGCAGAGCTAGGCAGTCTATTAGCAGCAATTGAAACCAATATCGCTTTCTTAGGAATTGCTATCTATAACGGCAGACACTCAGTCTCTCATTCACTCTCAATAATGAAGCCACTTACAGTAATTTAAAGTGACAGCCTGAACAAGAAATGAGACCACTGCTTATTCATGGAAAGGCAGTCTGCTAGTAAACGTTTGGATATGCTTTTCTTACCTGAACCTCTTCTAAAAGTAGTCATTTATTGGGTGCATACTATTTTCCAGCCACAATACTAGGTGTTTAGAATATATCAGTGAAGAATTGTATCAGGAGAAGCCAAGAATAATACATGTAGAGCATGTTAGAATGTAAATGTTATGGTGGGACAAGTCCCTCAAAAGGAGGTGGGAGGGATGTGACGGCTTAGGTTGCTTTATGAAATACAATGATCACAGTAGATCAACAAGAAGGAAAGAGAAGCCAATATTTGAAGGGGTGAGGTAGAAGTCAATGATTGTCTAAGGAAAGAGTATTCCAGGCAGAAGAAAAAGCTAGAGAGGTCCTACAATGGGACTATACTGATGTAGGAACACCAGGGAAGTTATTGTAGAGTCCTGTGCAAAAAGGTAATTGCTAGGGCAGGAGATTAGATAACAGAGTGTATGTATATCTTGCCAAGCCTATAAACCATCGTAAGCATTTTGGATTTTATTTTGAGGGAAATGGACAGTCATTGGAGATTTTTGAGCAGAGGGCATGATCTGACATGTTGTAAACAAACTGGATTAAGAGTAGTAGGCTGTAGTAATAACTCAGATGAAAGGTTATGTCATGGCTTAGGAAAAATAGATAACAATGGGTATGGTAAGAATTGGTTGTATTCTAAGTATATGGCAAATGTGACAGCAAATAATTGTTTGTTAGATGCAAAGTGTAAAGGAGACAAATCCAGGATAACGTTGACTCAAAATCTTTGGTCCTGTGCATCTATCTGGAAATAGTGTTTTCATCAACTAGGATGGGGAAAGCATCAGTTACAGCAGGATTGTAGGAGAAGATTGGAATACAATTTTGAACATGTTGAAGTTGCGATGTCTTTTGAGGCACAAAATGGCAATATCGAGGAGACACTTGATGTACTAGCTTGTACTAACCTAGATATATATCACCTTGGTAAGTATCGTTTATACTTATTTAAAATAATGAAGCAGGATAAGATTGCTTTGGGTGTAGAGAGAGTAAAAAATAACAAAGACTGAACCATGGAGCATTTCAACATTAAGAGTTCAATGATAACAGAACAACACTGAAGAAGCTAAGAAGGAGAGTCAATAACATGGGAGGAAAATCAAGATATTGTGGAATCACAAAAACCAAATAAAAGTGAAAAGAAGAATCAATGGTATCAACTTGGGTAAGTCATGTAACATGAAGCTTGAGAATTGGCTATTAACTTTAGCAATATTGATACTGGTGACCTTGAGAAGAGCACAGGTTTTTTGTTTGTGGTGGTTTGATTTTGGAGTGATGGAAGCAAAAGCTTGAAAGATAGAAGTTGGAGATGACTATAGAGAACACATCATGAGGGACACTGCAGCCCACAAGCACACAGGGGTTATCCCAGCCTCTAAGTAATGGTGGGGAAGAACCTGCAGGGAGACTCATGGACACCCTCAAAGCACCCTAAGAGAGGAGTCCTATAGTGCATCCTCGGCTCCTGGCATTTCTTCAGCCTTGTCAGTCCTCCATTCCTAGAATCTATGGACTTTCTGCTCAACCTCCTCTGGAGGAAACAGGCCAGATCCCAAGCCAAGGCATAACCACAGAGGGCTCCTGGACCTAATGCTTCAAAGACCCAACCCTAGACAAATACAGATATCACTGCAGTGGTAAGTCCCTGCTAGTGCCAAGCACAGGCACAGTTGTCAGATCAACTTGAACTCCCAAAAGCCAGGCTCATACAGAAGCATAGAGAAGGGTAATATTGGTACCAGAAAAAGAGCTGACCCTGCCTGTCCTCTACTCAGGACAGAATAACCAATCCAGTAAGGGCCAAGATAGGGACTTAAAGTGGCACTCTGGACTCTTTTAAATCAAAGGCAGTCTTCTAAATCATGGGAGTTCTAAACAAAAATGGGAAGCAAAATGGAAAACATTCACAACAGACTAACAACCAAGCCAGAAACACAGGGACAAGCTCACTAGAAGAAATGCAGAATTGAGAAAAGCTCAGTCCTAGTGCAATCACACACAGAAAAAACACGAATTGCATATCACTCCAAAATAAAAATGCTGATGAAATTGGACACAATACTAGAATGTGAAGGCAGGCCATGGTTGGCTGCATTTCATCCTTTGTGAACCATGCAGCCTTTTGATTAGGACTTGAGATTGAGAGTTATCTTGTTGGCAAAAGACATGGAAACCCAGAGCTAGATGACCTTCCCATGTATCCAGGTATTAAGAAATTGTGGAAAAAAATACAAAATATATCTCCAAAAATGTCCCATATAAACTGGAAAACATTTTGGTATGACTGAGATGAGTAAAGGTCCACCAAATATATGAAAGATTTAAAAAAAGGTGGAGGACATGGAATAATAGACCACAGGCCACACAGGAGAGATCACTCCTAACTACCACGGGGATTCCAAAATCATGCAAAACTGAAAGGCCACAGTTTAAACTGGAGACTGTCTTCACATTTTTGTCTTCTCAATCATTATGTCATGGTGAGGTTATATGTGACCATTAGGAGAAGGGGGACATGTAGTTAAAACCATCATCCTTAACATCTGTTGGCAACTTTCCAGCACATGGAAAATGCATTCCTGTAAAATTGATGTGGGTTGAGTACGTAGTGTTGTGGTCTGATCTGGGTAAAAGTGGCACCTCCAGGTAAGGAGGTTACTCCTACTCTTGCAGGACCCAGGCCTTAACAAATCAGACTAGAACCATAAGAAAAATGGATCACACCCAGCCAAAGAGCCCAAGCAGAAAAGGGGAGAGAGTCGCCAGAAGTAATGTATAATTGACAGAAACCCCACTCCAGTACCATGGCACATGGGTCCCACCAGACACCAAACTAAAACTCACAGACCCTACTCCCCACACATACACTCCCACAAATACACAGATGCAGAGGCAGCTTCTGAGGCTATGGGGTTCTGTCTCCCGTGAAGAAGCTCCTCTGGGACATAGAAGCCCATGGTCACACAAGCAGTATGGCTTTCCAGCTCGCAATGGGTGGGAGGACAACTTCTGGGGAGCATCAACTGCACACCAACAAAACAAGTCTGAAGCAGGGATCGGTCAGACACTATGTCCAGGATGCTCCCGTTAACGTTTCTTCAGCCTGATCATCCCTCCTCCACTCCTAAGATCCTGATATCATCCCCTTGACACCCTGGGAAGGGCAGGCCAGACCCCAACTGTGAAGCTCAGCCTCAGGGCTCTGGACGCCACAACCTCAGAGGCACATTCTCA